TTTTGTGCTAGTTAAGTAGACAGTAAATGGTATCCCTATACATAGAAAGCAGCTTAGGGGCTAAAGAGATGGTTCAGTGTTTAAGAGCACTTACTGCTCTTGCAGAGGACCTGGGTTTGATTCCCAGCACCCACATGGCAGCTACAAACCATCCTTAACTCCAGATCCAGAGGAATACGAGGCCCTCCTCTGACCTCCGCGGCATTGCACAACACAGGTGCACTCACATACATGCAGGCAATACACTCATACACATAAAATAAAAATAATGTGAAATATTTTTAAAAAAAAGCAACTTAAACTGAATAAAAGGAGTTCAGTTGTCCTATTCAGTTCAGTACACATATATGTCTGGTCCAATGAGGTTATATCATCTAGACATTATTGCCATCTTCTTTTGTGTAAATATGCCTATTATACTGAAGCAATGAAACCACCTAACAGTATTTCTCTGAATGTATCCCCACTGTTAAGTGAAACATGACTGTAGTTGTTTGAGAATTCTCCAAAGAGAACTATATCGATTCTGACTCAGATATTCTGTCTCATACCACTGCTATACCATGTTACATTTGCTCACTGCTTCATACTCAATACATCGTGTTCTGAGATGTAGTGGAAAATGATGTATTTCTCAGCATTGGCTGTTACTTCTCTAGTTTTAGGCAATTTTAATCAAACATCAATAAGGTCCTGAAAGTCCCTATGGTTAGTGAAGAAGATTATTGAAAAAAGATAGTACACTTAAAAGACATTTAGACTTTTGGAGAGGCATTCTGGACCCATTTACTGAGGCTTACAGATTGGAATGAATGTTAATCTGGGGAACATTTACTAAAGATTTTCCCAGGCAGTTACTAAATTATAAGAGTTTCTTACATGTTTTAAACATTATTTCCTAATGAAATATGTGCTTTTCAAACATTTTTTTCCATTCTGCAGGTTGTCTTTTTCAGTCTGTTCTTGCTGTACAAATTTTCTGTTTGATGTGGGCCCACTTTGTTTTTGCTTTTGTTGTCACAGCCAATAATTAATTGCAGTAAACTTTACTTTGCTACTTGAAGAATACTAATCTCCAAAGAAGAAGACTGTATTGAAATTTGTTGCAGAAATAAATTATTCTAAAAATGTTATACTTTCTTTAAACCTTTTTTTTTTAAGAAAAAATTATTGAAGTCTCAATATAGCACCCAGACCAGCCTCAAACTTGAGCTCAAGAGATCTTGCCCGAGACTCCTGCCTAGCTTGAGACCATAGCTACATGCCCCCATGCCCTGCCTTAATATACTTTTATTTTTATTTATTTTTTTGTGGGGTGTTTTTGGTTTTTGAAACAGGGTCTCACTATGTAGCACTGGCTGGCCTGCCACTCAGTATTTAGACCAGGTGGCCTTGACATCATAGAGATCTGCCTGCCTCTGTCTCCTGAGTGCTGGGATTAATTAAAGGCACACACAACCATACCTGACTTAATGTACTGTTTTTTATATTTTATTTATTTATTATTATTTTTTAACAGAGCATAGGGTAGGGGTTTATTTACAGAAGAGTGAACTTCCCACATTACGGCTATGCCGTAAAGTCCACACTCAAATACAGATCCTGTGACCTCCCGAGGCCCCACCAAATGGTGCAAGAAGTGTCTCTTGGTGTTCTCAGCATGTATATCTCCTTTGCCCCTCCCCCCACACGCAGGTAAGGTCGACTAATTGGGTGGGAGGGGTAACTGACTCCTCCCTTGATGTCTTAATGGAGCATGGGAAGGAGGTATGACTATAGCTTGCCAGCATAATGGTCAGAGAACGTTTCCAGTTAACACTCAACCCCTTCCTCTGCCTCTTACATTCTTTCCACCAACCTCTTCCGCAAAAGTCCCTGAGCCTTGGAGGGGGTGGTAGGTGTGGCTGATCTTCCTCCCACTGTGGCAAGGCACTGAACTTTCGGGTCGCTACATCATCTGTTTTCCATGGGCTGTTGGCCAATTTGAGTGGGGTTCCATCTACTATAAAAACACAGCAAGAAGCAAGAACATCTAAACAGTGACTGCTATAATAACCTATGGGTATAAACATAAATGCTTGGTTGCTACTTTAGCAGGTGCATCATTTCCATCTAACAAAGCAATTGCAGTGACTTCCCATTGGGGCCTATAGTCTGCCCTGCCACAAGAGCTTGGCCAGGTCTGCGGTACCAGATGTGTGTTCCACCCCTAGGAGCAGACATTATATCCAATCGAAAATTTGCTGGTTGTACATACACTGGATACTCCACTATTGCACCAGCAGGAACATCTTGTTTTGGTATGTTGGTATTGCAACATACAGGGTCTGTTGTTGAGGAGAATTATAGGGGACTATTCTCCCCCAGTCATCTGCCTATTGCCTTTTTGCACAATGAAAGCCACCCATCCAGTGGCAGGGAGTTTCTGCCTTAGTCCAAGCTTGATTTCTCCCCCTCCCGCACTCACATCATGCGGTGTCTTCAGCAACAGGGTTTTTCCATCCTCTTGCAGTGTACAACCAACATTATTGGCAATGGCTTTATTGTTTTAGGGAACTCTAGGGTCCCTCAGGCCAACAGCTCATAGGGGGCAACCCACCTCTGGCATGGGGATTTTCATTTAACAACCGTATGACTTAATGTAGTTTTTAAACCACTGGATCATAGTACAGTCATCTTGTCACTAGTTCTGTAAGGAATGTATAATTTGGGTATCAGAAGGGTAATTACCCATTAATAAGTAATCTGCTTCATTTGGCAAGTGGAGCTGTTTCCATAGCAAGAAATAGTTTTCTAATGAAAATAAATCATCTTTTCATAGATTTGATATTCCTCTTTCAGCACTTAATATTATAAATTTGTTCAAACTGTTGACACTCATAATTTTGACTGCCCTGTTTTGGGGATTTAGGTGGATTCTACTGAGTAGTTTTCTCACTAAATTGGAATTGATTTATATACGTCATTTGATCCACCTGTTTATTTTGGGGTGGGGAAAAGGTGGTCCTCTTGTATAGCCCAGGCTGACATTGACAGCCCTTGAATTTATGATGGCAACTTTGCAAGCGCTGGGAGTATAGGTGTATACCACTGCATCCAGTCTCTGACTTCCTTTTAAAACACAGAATTAGAAGCCATGCATTTTAGTCTTTATACAAAATACTTGAAAATCAGTATTTTTAATGGCAATATATTATATAATGTGGCCCTTTTTATGAGTGTTTATGAAGTTAGATTTATTACAACTTCATATGTTGTTATTAATGAGAATTAACAGCTGGGCTGGAAGGATAGCACAGCTGTTAAAGGCTAAGGCTAACAACCAAAAAGTAAAAGGTTCGATTCCCAGTTTTAAACTCTTAACAAATAAGTATTTGGGGACCTAAGAAGCCAAATTTACTATTCCTTTAACTGGGTATGGTGATACATGCCTACAATCCCAACACTTGGGAAACTAAGGAAGGAGAATAAGAAGCTCAAAGCTAGCCTGTGCTACCAAACCCTGTCTCCAAAGAAGTTTAAACAGAAGTCTTGGTTCACACCTATAATCCCAGCACCCTGGAGGTTAAGGTAGGTAGATTTCTGTGAGGTTGAGGCCCACCAGTCCAAATTGTGAGTTCCAAGCCTGCCTGGAACATAGTGTGAAACTACTCTGTCTCAAAACAAACAATAAAAAAAATTTTTTTTCTTGAGCGAGCCTTTATAATGATTTGTTGAACGTGTGTCACATGTTAACTCTTTAATAAACCTTACTAAACTACTGACCTCCACTAAGTCATAGCCCTTTCTCTCAAAGCCGAATTCCCTCTTCTTCCCACTCTTCATTTCTTCTAAATATGAACTCTTGTCCCAGTAATTATTGGGCAGAGACTTATGAAGCTACAGCCTCACCAAGTAGTACATAAGAGGTTATGTGGAAAACTTAACTCTAGTATATAGGTACACATAGTGTACTTTTTTGATTAAGAAACAAGGGAGAGCCAGGTGTAGTGGTGCATGCCTTTAATCCCAGCACTTGGGAGGCAGAGGCAAGCAGATCTCTGTGAGTTCAAGGCCAGCCTGGTCTACATAGTGAGTTCCAGGACAGCTGGGGCTACAGGGAGACCCTGTCTCAAAAAAACCAAAAAAAAAAAAGAAAAAAGAAAGAAAAAGAAAAAAAAGAAAGAAACAGTGGAGAAGCATGTCTGGGATAATCTGGGTTTCATTTTGATAATGATGTATGTTATTTTTGTTGCCACTTTTGCCTCTGGTCTTCTAAGTTCTTTTATAGCTCTTAAAATTGTACAATCTATTAACCAAAACTCCTTAAAATAAGAGTATCATTTCTTTGTCATCCTGAGAAAAGTCTTAAAAATCATATTTCTTATGTTTAGGGTGTAGCACAATGGTAGAGTAGTTGCCTAGCTTTCACCAGGCC